AAATGGAAAGGGGGGTCGAGTGATACCTCATTTTAAAGGTCTTTACCTTTGTAATGATGTAAAATACATGAGTTCAGTAGTTTTGAAGATTTATTGATTTAAAGCTTAAAGTAGACTTTAATAGGTACATCAGATTAGTTTGTACTACTTTCAGAAGAAATTTGACTAAAAGAATTTACTTAATAAGTAAATGCTTTTCTTCACTACGCCCATGGTTTGTTTAGCATTTTGTTGTTGAAAATAGCTATTGGAGCGTTTTTTTGTGGCAAAAAAGTTATGTCTTGAAGAAAGATAAGGAAATATCTCGTACTTATTTTAAATAGGAATTTAGTACATAGTTTGCGATTGATTTGACCAAACTTTGTTGCTAAAATAACTTATAACTCTTTATTACATAAATTAACCATGGTATATTCCACAGCAGAAAGAGTTGAAATTATCGAAATATTTTTCGGAAATAATCAGTGCGCTAATAGAACAGCAGAAATATTCAATGAGCGACATGAGAACAGTAACGTGCATCGAAAAGATGTTCTAGAACATGTAGCTAAATTTCGGGAAACTGGGTCAGTCGCCAATAAAAAACAAAACATTGAAAATCCCATAAGGAACGAAGCAATATAAGTGGGAATTTTAGGGCAAGTTTATGTCGATCCTACGTTAAGTATCCGTAAATTGGAGACTGTGTGTGGTGCAGCCACAAAAATTAAATGTTTGGGCGGTATTTTTGGCGATCATTTAGTTGGTCCTTTTTTCTTACCTGGAAATTTGACCGGTGAAATGTATTTGGAATTACTGGAAGACGCCATAGATCCTGCATTAACAGCCATAATTGAAAATCAGAATGATCGGCAGTACATTGCGAATAGGTTGATGTTCCAACAGGATGCCCCACCACATTACGCATTACGTGTTCGACAATATTTAGATCAGACGTTTCCAGATCGATGGATTGGTAGAAGAGGTGCGATTGAATGGCCCCCAAGATCGCCAGATTTATCACCTTTGGATTTCATTATGTGGGGTCATTTAAAAAGCAAAATCTATGCTACTCAGCCAACATCATTAGAAGACCTGAGACAAAGAATTTTATTGTGAATGAGTGCCTTCAAATTACTCCTCAAATATTGCAAAATGTGCAGCAACGTTTTGAGCAAAATCTTTTTTCAATATTTACTTGCCTAACGGGTCAGTTCATTCTTCATTTTTAAATTACTTTGCTGCCAAATGTATTGATCTCCACTAATGATGATGTATTAGTTTTATTTAAGCTTTAAATCAATAAATCTTCAAAACTACTGAACTGAAGTACATTAATTTTATATCATTATAAATGGAATTGAAAGACCTTTAAAATAAGGTATCACCCGACCCCCCTTTCCATTTAAGATTTTGGGGGTGGTATCACCCCGCTTAGGGGGCTGCATGTTCTAACGTGATTTTTTGCCAAACTTGTGTCCCCCTCGAAAATAAAATCGACGGGTCTCAGCGTTTTTTAAAAAAAACTGAGTTGCCAGTAAATGCGTCTGTTTCGTTTTCGATGCGCCATCTTGTATAGACTTAAACAATATTAGACAATTATCACAAATCACATGTATGGTATTCATTATTTTACGACACTTTTCTTATTCATGTTTGTAATTCTATTTTATGGCTGAGTTGAAAAATACCTTAAGGTAACACTCCGCCATTTCGATCCTTTAATTTAAAATTTTTAGTACCTCACCTTACGCAAAATATGTATTTGTGAAAGAATCGAATAAAGGCATGTTATTATTATATTGGATTTTTGCCCAGGTGAACGGAGTTCTTAATTCTGATTCCAAATATGTATAATATGTCATACATTGACAATGCCAAACCTTAGTTATTTCAAAAAACAGAATTTCCTAGGTAGGCCTCGGAATTATCATTTGTTTCGTATGCCAGATTTATCTTAAAGGCGCATACAGACATCGCGAGGCATGCGTCGCGAATGGTTCGTCTCGCATGCCTCGCGCTGTGTGGACGTGTATGCTCACAGTGAGCATTCGCGTCATACGATCTTTGCGAATGCCGCCTCAGTGCGAGGCTTGCAGGTTGAGGCATGCGAGACGAACCATTCGCGACGCACGCCTCGCGATGTCTGTATGCGGCTTTACACTATCTGTGTTGCGATGTGACTATTTACTTTTCCTGAATTTATTGAGCCGAGGAGTAAGTTACATGTTGTCATTGTCACTTTTTCTCCTCTACAAGATAGCGTAGCCAATTGTTCAACAACACGAGGTTTCTTCGTTCGACTTCCATCACCAACTTCGTTTCCTCATATGGATGCTATATTGAAATTTTGTACATTTAAATGGATTTTTCAGTCCTAAATCCATATTTTCCTTGTAGACCATGAATTTGTTGTTGAAACGATCATTGAGAAACATGGTGAAACCTGAACACGAAATAATTCTTTTATTGATGGTAATATCAAGAATAGTCATAAATCTACAAAATCTTTACCGTTATTTTGTAGGCAAGGCCTGACTTTTCTATTACATTGTTCATTACTCCATTTATTTTCCTTCTTCTCAGTCTTCCAAACTCTGTTACTATGTTCAATTCAAGGTCTGGTCTGGTGTACGAAACAAATGACTACCTGATAATTTCAAGGCCTATCTAGGAAATTCTGTTTTTCTGAAATAACTAAGGTTTGGCAATGTCAGCATATCCATTTTTGGAATTAGAATTATAAATTCTATTCATTTGTATAATGTGGCGTCTATAAGAAAAAAATAAGTTCATGCTGGATGACAAAAGACGAAAAGTCATATTCTAATTCTATGTATGCTATCTTGTAAAGCAAAAAGTGACAACGTTAATGTGCGATTTATTTAAGTATTTGGAATTATATTAATTTGTTTCATATTTACAGTCTTTTTGGGGTCTACTGCTTTTTCACTAGAACCTCGTGGCAATAAAATGAGAACGGAAAATTACTATTTGTAACGTGAAACTGAAGACCTTACCTTTTAAAACCTTTAGATTCAAAATTAAAGAGATAAAAGGGGGGGGGGCACAAAGTTAATGTTACAGTTGGACATTTTCAGTATCTAGAAAAAAATGGTTTTTCTCCAATACTTTTCATTTTTCAATCTTGTCGTTAGACATATAATTCTGTTAACAAACTTTAGGTTTGGACTGAGTACTCAAATAAATAAATCAAAATTACCTCATAACTGTCCAAGTAAAAGCCCAACGTTGAGGTACCTGCCCTTTCGCAACGCCGATCACTATGATATATTAACTTTTGTCGATTGATTATTCTATTTAAAGGGGTTTTCTGTATCCCACAGAAACCTTTCTCGATAATTGTCTGGAACAGTAGGACTGTATGGAACCACGTAGTTTTGTTTTCGCAGAAATGCTAAGTGTCACTAACTGTCAAACTGGCAACTTAAGCCTGATCGACTTGTAGTCTTAACTTTCATTTTGGCTACAGACTGACAGATTTTGCAGACAAATCAAAGACTTGCTCCTTATACTGAATCTGAATCCGTTGAGACCAGACATCAAAATCGGGTAGAAATTTCAGAGATTTTTTTTTACTCAAGATTTTTGTTTCATACGTTACTTGTTTATGAAACAACCCGTTTTAGAATACTAAAATGCAGCAGAAAGCACGACCGATCCACACAGACTGACTTAATTTCGAAACGGTACTCCATGCAAGCCTAAAATGTATAAAAAAGCCGAATGTTGAGCTGGCCCGTTATATACTCGAATCTGGCCGGGCCTAAAAGGGCAACGCACTGTGGAGACCTTTAATTTCGTACCGTTATTTCATCATGAAAAATCGTTTGAGAGAGGTACACAGATGGATATGAACAGGTTTTTTATTGGGCGAATGGATGAGAACATCAGAAGAATCTTGTTCCACGACTATATTTCTGACCACAGTGAAAAACGAAATGTTTAAGCAAAAGAACAGAGGAGTGTTTTCATTGATTCCCTATTAATATAAAACGGAATAGGTTTGAGCTTTTTGTGCTAAACTCTTAATGCCTGAGAAATTCTAAGTTTTCCATTTTAAATCCAGGAAGGATCTTCGAATCTGCTCTGAAAAATATTCTGATTACCCAATTTTCCTTTTGGAAATACGTGATCCTTGACTCCAAAAAATATTTGAAAGAATGAGAACTATAACATTGACAAAGTTCCTAAATATTCTTCAAACACCCGATAATAAGGCCTCAAAACAGTTTTATTGTAAACCTTTATTTCTTGATTGTATATTCTGCGCAAGCATCAGTGAGAAGTACCCTGCGGCAACCCTTGTTTAAACAATTTTGATGCAATTGAGAGACTGGCAACAATTAGATTTCTGAATAGAAGACGTTTTTGGATAGGTTTATACAAAAAACTTGATCTGAATATTTTTCCGAGCAGATGCTAAATTGCCTGGACTGGTCTACACAGAGAACTTGACTGTTTGAAATTCAATTCTTTTCCAACCTCAATACTCTTGTTGCCTGGGTAAACTAGATACATAGATCAAAAATCAGATATCGATAGGAGGTTCCAAAAAGTCCATTCTCCTATTCTAAATGGAGGGGACAAAAATAGACATTTTGCGGAGAAACGTTAAAAAAGTTGTCTTACTTTCAAATAAATATATTAGCTTCTCAGCAAAACCAATTTGGCTTGTGGTAAAATTCTTTAGTATTTCTAGAAGTTGACGTTATTATAATGTTGATGAACTCAAGCAAAATAATAATAATTTAATCAACCAAATTTCTGTCGGAATATCGAATTCAGCCCGCTACATGTGAAACTAACAAGATTTCAAATATCATAACATTCAATAATAGCTCTTTTCAACTTGCCCAAGCTTGTTCAGACGTTTCGAAGGTTTTTTACGGAAACCTTTGGATCCCCTCACCACTATATTTTTAGAGATACAGAAACAACTGTCAAACAAAAAAAGTTCACATTATCTTCGACTTTAAAGATCAGGTATTTTTTGTTAGGTTAATATAGCGGAATTCACAGAAACATAATTTTTTAGATTCAAGATTGCAGTTACGCCCCCTAGCGACCTTTCCAGAAACTTGAAAATGTTTTCCAGTTTTTTTCTTGGCCGTTTTAGTGAGAACTTTTTTGTCGCAAGCCTCCACGATGGATATGTTCCCAGATACAGTACCTCGCATTCTTAGTTGGGCACCCTGTACTCTACGGCCTCAGGGTAGGAGGAGTTTCATCGCCTGCGAATAATAAAGATACCAGAGTAGACCCAGATGCTATAGATGATGCATATACAACCATATCCATTTATCCAGAATTGCATAGGAAGGCCACCTACTTGATGTCATTTTTTTTTTTCAATAAAAACTCCTTAGTGACTTGAGATACACTTATTCTTATCTCGTTACGTACCTCACAATTTTTTAAATGTGAACCCCTTTGATTAGCTCTGCCATGATGCGAGCAGACTTTTGTAAAGCCTCTCTCTCAGTGGGCGTCAACACTTGCTGGATAACTCCAAGAACTCCTCTTTGACCCAAAGTACAAGGCAGCGACAAATAAACTTCCTCTTTCACACCATGTAACCCCTTGATCAAAGTTGATACAGCATGGACGCTGTTCATGTTTTTCAGAATGCTGTGGACCATGGATGTTACGCTTAGACCTATAGCCCAGTTGGTGTAGCCCTTTTTCTTTATGACGTTGTATGCGGACAAGACAACTTCTTTGTGAATATCTTCCCAGCGGTCGGGGTCTTCACGGGTTCCTATCTTGGGGTTTATGTCGCGTAGTCTAACTCCAGCCACGTTCAACGCAGACCTACGAAAAGTTAGTTCAAATCGAATGTAAAAAGACTTGAAATTTATCGGAAAGTTATTATTCTCGCCTTTTACTTCCCACGTCTGCTGACAAGGGGACGCCTCTCTCGCAAAAATTACCTTAGTAGACCCGAGTAGTGGAGAGATGTGTGCCTGTCACAAATCCACCTACCCCTACCTCTGCAATTTTCAATCGCCGATACACTCCCCTTGTCCCTGCCCTGATCTGAGAGACACATTTGTCAAGTGACATTTTTTTCATTAATACCTACTAACCATACGGCAACACTGGTATCTCCATGTTCTCCAATTATCCATGCATGGACACTAGCAGGTGCAATGTTCAGTCTGTTAGCAATCATATATCTGAACCTGCAATCATTACCAAATACTAGAAGAATATCAATGTATAGTCAACGCCAAACAAAGTGGCGTGCACGTCATCACGATAAAAATTCCCCGACCTAATGCCTAGGTTTCTATCACAAACAATTGCTCTATTGCAGTTTCATATTAATGTGATATATAAATTGTAAAATGGTCATTACTCTCTTATTATGGTTAATAGTCATATAAACATTGTTATTAAAATATCACATAAGTTGCTTTCTGATAAATTTAGACGCATTATGCGAAATAAAATGTTTTGCAAACGCTCCAATCACTTATCGACATGTAAACGCACTAAACCGATTTCGCAGCGTTGACACATTGTCACCTTGAAACTTATTTAAACTGGGAACTGACATTTGTATTAATTTTGACACTGAATCAATTTGTGGCATTTCAAATCTTTATAAATCCTTTGGCCCCGCATACTGTAAATCAACAACTGTTTGTTTCAAAACAAAATTATTCATTTTACGAGTAGATAAAGGCAATTTTGGTATATAAAGATGCCCAAACAGTTAAATAGTCGGTGTAAGGAACTCGTGGCCTCGTTAATGCACTACTTTGAGCAAGAAAGGGACAACAACGGGCCTTTGTTGCCTTTAAATGCTGTTCAAGAGGTAGGTTACTAATAATTATATGTAATGTATATTAATAATAGTGAAATTTTATTTCATTTTTTGTAGCGTGTTGCTGCTGCTTTAAAAATTAGTTTAAGGACAGTTAGTCGTATTTCCGAGGGTGTGAAAAGTGATGCAAATTTAGAATCGCCCAAGAAAAAGCGGAGTTATATTAAACGTGTAACCAACACAGCGACATTGGATACAAGTGCCATTCGAGAAGTGATCTATAATATCTATCACAAAAGTAAGATCTTATTATAATAACTTATCAGAAATTTGCATTAATTTGTTAACTAAATTATAATGTCATATTCACATGGTTTCAGAAGAACAAGTTACGATACAAACTTTATGGTCTCGATTAAGAGATAGGGCATTATTTGATGGTAGTGCCACGTCTTTAAGGCGGTTGCTTAGAGATCTTGGATTTAAGTGGCTTAAGGACAATCCGCGACGAGGGCTCATGGAACTACCAAGTATAGCTTTGAAAAGGGTGGAATTTCTAAGGCAATACAATCAAGCCAAGGTTGAGGCCTTATACCAATTTGTCTTCCTCGATGAAACTTGGATATTTCAAAATGGGACCATAGGTCGCTCTTGGCAAAATGGAAACCAAAAAAGCGTGAAAGCTATTAAAACAGATGGTAAAAGGTATGTACTTTTACACAATTTGCACTATAAAATTTAAAACTAATATATTTTAGATACATTATATTACATGCTGGAAATGAAAATGGGTTTATTGAGGGTAGTGAAGCGATATTTTCTTCGAAAACAAAATTGAGCGATTACCATGGAGAGATGAACCAGGACAATTTTTTGAAATGGTTTCAACATCAGTTATTAGAAAAATTGGAGAGTCCATCTATGATTATATTGGATAACACCCCTTATCACAGCATGATATTGAACAAAGTGCCCAACAATGCATGGACAAAAAAAATATCCAAGACTGGTTGACAAATCAAAACATACCATTTTTAAACACAATGTTTAAAACAGAGCTATTGAGTATTGTTGCTCGGTACATAATGCTTCTTAATTATATATATTTTGGTCGACAGTTTATATTTCTTTTGTTTATTCCTATTCTTAAAATAACTGCTTTTTTAGAAACAAACCACCTAAAATATACGTGATTGATGAATTGGCGGAACAACATGGGCACAAAGTTCTTCATCTGCCTCCTTACCATTGTATATTTAACCCTATTGAGTTAATTTGGGGCATAGCAAAAGGTTACTATAACAGACATATTGGTAGAGATGGTAGCAGTGAAAAAGACTGTTTGGATATGTGGAACGAGGCTCTACAAACGGTTACCCCAGACATGTGGAAAAATAGTGTTCGACATACTGAGCAAGAAATTTTTAAATGGTATGAAAGAGAACGAATTTTTGATCGACCAGACATCGAACCTTTAATAATCAACTTTGAGAGTGATGAAGATTCAGATTCAGACAGCGCTGAAGAAAGAAACTCCGACTAACTTTATTGTACAGAAAAAGCTTACACCAGTAGCTTACCTAATTTTAGAATGCATTTTTCTGTATGAATTCTGTAAAATAAATACCATGCATAAAATTTGGAGGACCCCATTTGGATTTTTATTCAGTACCTTTAAGCTATCAATTAAATATGGTAGTTTCATAGTGTCATCTGATCAATAATTGTCATACTTAATGATTATGCAAGTACAGATCTATAATTTTATTATACTATTATTTTTGTTCTCATTTGAGGTTAATATTGCTTATAAACCTAGATATGTAAATAATAAATTTTATTATTTTACAAAAAGTTTGGCAACAATGTAAATTTTTCAACACACCCACCTTGATGACGTGCACGCCACTTTGTTTGGCGTTGACTATATATATAAACCGTATCCAAATCTGTGACAGAGTAAAACCCTTGACTAACGTGAAGGTAGTCAACCATTCCGGTGCTCAAAAATGGATCTGAAGAATCCTAGCGTCATCTATGAGTCAGTAGCAGAACACAAAAATGGATTTAGAAACCTACTTTAAAAAGAACTAAAGTGTTTCGTTTTAATTAGGTATCTTCAGGTGAAATACATTAATCAACGCATAAAGATAGGCATTAAACATTCTAATTTTCCTGCTTATATATGGCGCTTTACGTCTTTTGCATACCTCGAAGTATCCAAATTAGTCCCAGAGCCTATGATTCTAGTCATAGGAAAACCACTGATTTTCCATGCCACATAGCTCAGCACATCACATGGATTGCTCACTATCAATAGCACAGCATTCGGAGAATACTCCACCAGATGAGGGATTATATTCTTCATGAGGTCAGCGTTTCTTTGCAGTAGGTCTGTTCTGGATTCGTTATCTTTTTGTCTGACACCTGCAGTAACAACGCAGACTCTGGAACCAGCTGATACAGCATAGTCTGTACTAGCGGTGATTTTGGGATCTTTCAAGAAGAGGGAGCCATGTTGTAGATCCATCATTTCACCTTGAACAAGGAGGCTACGTAATGTTGGAAAATCTTATCAAATAAAGGTTCGAGTACGTTTAAATAAAATAAAAAAGAAATGAAAAGTAAGAAATAATTTTTTCCTGTGGAAAGTACGCCAATTTATATTTCTTAGCGTTTGAGCAATATTGAAGTTCCGGAATCTAAACTTCTCAAATAAAAGCGTTTGACCATCTAGAAGGAAAAAGGGGATAATACGGTTTCATTTGAAAACTTGAAAGCTATGGTTTAAAGGTTAAGAAGTATATTTCCTGTCGGAATAAAATATTTCTCAATTTTTAGTTCGACTCAACAGCTAAATAAAACCTTATTTCAAAAAATGTCAAACAGTTAGTTTTATAGCGGTCTCACTTTACTTGGATGTATGAATTTGCATCCTGCATTTCAGGTTAGACCTTACTTGCGTCTGATGTGCCGCTTATTTCAAGTTAGACCTCACTTGGGCTTAAGAAAACTTAGTCCCGGTTTGATTTTGGAGTTTCCCTTTCCCTGAAGAAACCAATACTGTCGACGCCTATTTCATCAAGTGATTCATGGTACAGCTATTTATTTGCGTCTGCTAGCTGATAGTATACCTAGGTAATTCGACTTTTTCAGTCTTATTGGAAACCCTTTTATTTGAAACCCATATTACAGGTGTTATTGGTGGAAATGATTAATCGCCATTTTGTAACATCTGCCACATTGGATTCAAACTGGGGGCATTTAATTTTTCCTAAGAACCAAATATATATGTAAAGTGTCAGCTTAAATGACCAAAGTGAGCAGGTTCAAGATTGAGGAAGAAGTGAATCGTCAATTTGAGTTTTCCACCATATTGAATTTAGAATGACTTTGCCTTACTGATAGTATTGAACTGTTCAAACCCCTTCATTTGATACTCATATTATAGGTGCTATTATATGTAGAAATGATATATTGTTATTTTGTAGCACCCGCCATATTGGTTTAAAAATGGCGGCATTCAATATATTGTATATTGAGAATCGAACGCGTATATTAAATGTCAGCTCAATTTGTCAAAGTTAACTGGTTAGAAAGTAAAGAAGGCGTAAATTGCCATTCTGCCACAGCCGCCATATTGAAGTTATTTTATTTCTCTCATCAAGTAATTTCGTTTGATGCCGATATCATAGGTGTTACTATGGAAATGATAAATCGCCATTTTGTAGCATCCGCCGGGTTGGATTGAAAATGAGGACATCAGGGTGATTTTGCATTGTCACGCAAACCAAATACATATATAAAATTTCAGTCCAATCGGTTGAGACTAACTGGTTCAAAATTCAGTTTCAAGATTTGCCCCACACAAACATACTAACATACTAATAAACAAACAGAGGATACCCAATTCAATTGAAAAACGTTTCTGTGCGAAAATGGGTTTATTTACTTAGGGATGTACAAATCGTGAAGATAAACATCGACGTTTTTGAGAAATAAATGCGCTTAATCAGCTAGTGAGTATGCAAAACAAGTTTGGTGTGTCTTTTTTATCATATTTCAACAACAAAAATGAAATTAAAATTCATGCATAGACAAGCAGTACAGTTCATTTAATAGTTGAGAAAATAGTCTGTTTGTTTTCTGCATTAAATCGATAATATTTACCTTCTAATTTATTTTCGAACATGTCTATCAAGACCAAGTTATTAGAGATGCCCTGAGATAGAATACTAAAAGCACATGCCATTCCTACAGCTCCAATCCCTACTACTGTAACTTTATCGTCAAACGTTTCTATTGGTTTCTGTATCTCATGCATCAATTTTCCTTTGACATTTTCTGGTTTTGTAGCATAGCACCTCCTTCCGTAAATGTGGAGTAACTTGTTAGGTTTTGAACCTATAATTTTTTCAGCAAACGTTAGATCTGATCTCTGTACCTCATGCAACAATTATCTTTTGATATTACCTTCTTTTGTAGAGTAGTATCTTTTGGCATAAGATTGAGATTCATTGTTAAGACTTTTATGTCTAACAAGATTTTTTTCATTCATATAAAGATAATTTTCATCTTCAAAATCGCCTATTTTTTCAGAAAATGGACCATGTTCATTAATGGAATAGATCTTGTAGGTACCATAGTTATGAGATAATTCATTCGAGTTTGCTGTTAAGCCATTTACACGTAAGAACTTTGGAATAAGCCTATGAACATTTGGGATAGACATTTTCTGCCCCAATTTCTCAAATGACACTTAATTCAGGTTGAAGCATGACGGACGCTATAGTCGTAGTAGTAAGTATTTTATTCAGCCAAAATACAAACACATGGTTCAAATAGCAAGTCACAAAAAAGAATGAACATAGAAGAAAAAACAAAACTGTATCATCCGAAGATACATTAATAAAATATGCAATAATGAATTTAAATTTGAAACTGTATGTTATAATACATTAAAATAATTGACAAAATTAAAAATTATGTAAGAAACAATAATCAAAAAGATAAATTTTAATGGTATTAACATCCACAATTTAAAAATTCGTCAATAGAATAAAAACATTTATCAATTAGATAATTGAAAACCATTATTCTGAAATTACAGTAGATATCAATATTCCTCAAATTCCTAGGTAGAGCATTATACATTGCTACAAAACTATACTGAGTTGACCTAGTGTAAGTTAGAGTCCTAAAACGATTTGATTTTAAGTTGGTGATTCTTGTATTATAATCATGCTGTTCATTTTGCATCTCGAAGTTGTTAATGTTACGTTTAACATGATTTACACAGTTATATATAAAAATACAAGGTACAGTAAGCAGTTTGATATAATAAAGGCATGCCTGCAAGTTTCCCTGAAAGTGGGATTGAATAATAGTCTGATGATACGTTTTTGTGAAACGAAGACTCTGTTTATGCCAGTTGCTCTACCCCGGCATAGAATATTATATGACAGATGGCTATATACAAATGCATAGTAAAAAGATAATAGAGATTTTTCATCAAAATATTGTTTCATGTGAAATAATGCAAAGAAGCTTTTCTTTGAATTGCAGCCAGGGACGGCTGAAGAGCTGCAGAACTGCCAAAACTTTTGTCTTAACAGAAAAAAGCAGTAGTATTTTGATCATTATTTATTTTCCATGTTATTATACAAATAGAAACAATACCGGCAACGCTGCCCCCGTAAGACACGGCGTCGAGTCTGTTTTTTACTGAGAAAGCATTATAATCGACCAATTGTGTACTTGTCATTTTCGTCGCTACCGCAGCGTAACATTATTCATGGGCCACTTGAAAACGGTCTGTCTGCGCGATTTAAGCATAAGCATGTGCTGCAAGTTATACAGATCCGCACAGATCTAATGCGAAGTACGATATCTGATTGGTCGGTCGGTGATCGGTCCTCGGCGGAATTGGCATATTGGTCTTGTCGCGTCACGTGGCTTAAAATTTGAATCCGAAAAATTCTTTATTTAGGTATTTTGGGCCTTACGTTGACTGAATAGTGACACACTGACTGACTGTGGCTGTGTAGAAGGGTAGTGAAAGACAATGGATGTGGTTTACAGACTTATCAGCGTGAAACGATTCTGAAAACACACATTTGAAGAAAAAATTGAGCTGAAGGTGTCAGGTCGACCGCTGCCGGACATATTTATAGAAACACAGGGCGTTAGTCGGGGCAAGGGCTATACGCGGCATTTCAGCAGGGAGATTTACACCAGAAATGACTGGATTTGTGGGTGCAACAGGAAGAATGCCCTTTTCTGCTTTCCTTGCATACTTTTCGACGGTGACAAAGCTTGGGCGGACGGTGTTACAGATTTAGTGCACCTGAGTAAAAAAAATTAAGAAGCATGAAAACTCTAAAACACATCTTCATAATTCGGTGGAATTGGCTTTATTGGGGACTGTTAACATCAGAGCTCAGTTAGATTCAGCATATTGGAGCAATATACAACAGCATAATGATACCGTTACAAAAAACAGGTGCGTTCTATCAAAAATAATCGATTGTATAAAATTTTGCGGAGCATTTGAATTGGCGCTACAGGGCCACGACGAAATCGAGAGCTCCCAAAACCGGGGAATATTTCGTGGACTGATCAATTTTTCTGCTGAGCTTGATACAACCTTAAGCGAACACATAAAAAATGCTTCAATATTTAAAGGAACTTCGAAAGAAGTACAAAGCGATCTACTGGATTGTATTCTTGGAGTTTGTAATGAAGAAATAATAAAACAGATTAAGAGAGCCTCGTATTTGGCGATAATAGCAGATGAAACAACGGACATTTCGGGGAAAACCCAACTGGTGACAATTTTCAGATACGTATTTAACGGCGAACCAGTAGAACGTTTTTGGAATTATATGAATCCCGAAAAATGTGAAGCTGATACTCTCACAAGACATATTTTGAAATTTCCCTAATAAACTGATTTCACAAAGCTATGATGGAGCCGCGGTAATGAGCGGACATAATGCTGGAGTAAGTTCAGGCAAAAATCAAACAAAGTTATCCATTTGCTCACTATGTGCATTGCTATGCGCATCAGTTAAACCTGCTGCTTCCGCAAATGCTCAAGTTCGGGTGTTCTTTGGGGATTTGAAAGATCTTCCGGGATTTTTTAATAATTCTCCTCAATGCGTAGAGGTACAGTTGTATTCATAAAAAAAGCGTACACGAATTAGAATGATAGGAAACCTTAACCTTATTTGCGTAAAACCGGCTTATCGCATGTTAAAGGTTATTAAAAATGCAAAGCATGGGCGTCGGGCATTAGTTCAATACAGTAACAAAAATGTATTTCTTTATTTTACATCTTAACAGTTTTACAAAAATTACAATAGAAACAAAAAACGATTAACAAGAATAAATAAAATCTAATATTTGGTCATATATCCCAGCACGCATGTATTATTTCCCATAAATCTTCTGAATTTTGTGGCCTAAAATTTCGATTATATATTTTTTTTACGATTATACCCCAAATATTTTCGATTGGATTGATATCGGGACTATAAGCGACCCAAGGCAGCACTTCCACATTATGGGTTTGAAACCAGTGGGTTACAGCATTGGCCGTATGAACTGGACAATTATCTTGTTGAAATATGAACGTATTATTGGGATATATTTGCTCAGCACTTGGTAACAATATGTTTTCTAAAATGTTAATGTAATTTCCGGCATTAAATCTTCCCTCTATTCGCCAGCAAACACCAGGTCCATGAACACTTATCCAGCCCCATACATTTACAGAGAAACGCCCAAGTCTAGAATTGAGGGGGTTAGTATATCGCTCTTCAAACCTGGTATTGTTTGGACGGTAAACACGAATTTGGCCGTTATAAGTCGACTGGAACGTCTTTTCATCAGTAAAAATGACCCTGTTCCAAAATTGAGGATTGCGGTATATATAATTTAAAGCAAAAATAATCCTTGATTGTCGCCGTTCTTCGTTAAGAAACATTTTTTTCGCAGCAGGGTGACATTTTAGTTCAGATTTCATTACTCTCCTGCTGGCGGTAGGTTGGGAGGCAAGAAATGCTGTATCAATAACAGCATCCCTTACAGTTGCAAATGGATTATTTCTTAAATATGCCAAAAAAGCAGCATCCTGTTCAGGGTTGGTAAGTTTGGGACGACCTGAACCAATTTTCCTCTTTAGGGAATCTTCCTGTTCCCAGCGTTGCTTAATTTTCAATATGTTTTTTTATTTCTATTATACAACTGCGCTACAGCACGGATTGACCATCCTTCTTCGATTCTTGATACAATTTGAGCCTTTTCAACTTCAGACAACTGACGAGGCATTTTTATTTTCTTCTGTTAAAGTTTATCAAACGTTACCACCACGCATTTTCGAAATGAATTACACCGACGTCAATGCTTTGCATTTTTGACAATCTACGACGTGTGATAACCTCCAATAAACAATCATTTAGACAAGCCGGTTTTACGCAAATAAGGTTAAGGTTTCCTCTCATTCTAATTCGTGTACGCTTTTTTTATGAATAGAACTGTACTGAACAGAATTGTGGGGAAAAAAATTCCCCAAGGAGCAACAACTCGTTGAAATTTTAATATTCGAACAATAAATGTAGTGTTTGAGAACAGAGAATCACTCATTGAATGCGTGGAAGAAATAGAAGAAAATTTAACTAATGAAACCGTTTGCAAGGCAGCTTGTGGTATTCGCCGTATGTTAAACGATTCTGTTTTCGTGTTTTGATTGACATTTTTTCATCTTGTCATGCCTCACGTCAACATCTTGTTCAACCAGTTGCAGAAGAGAAAAACCGAGCCAGCCCAAGTTAAAACGGCTATCGATAACTTTGAAAAATGTATTGTCGATGTGAGAAATAAAATTGATGACATAATAAATGAAGCCAAAACTATTTGCGCTGAACCCCAAGGCAACAAAAGAAGACGACGTAGTAATAGCAGTCACGATCACCGAGTTGCCGCATTAGAAGTATGCGAAAATGTAGTGAATTCTGCAAATGACAGACTTCAATTCAAAGATCATTTGGTAGCCGCATCCCATTTTTCCCCCGAATACTTTGGAGAATATTGTGGTAACTTTCCTGATGACAAGTTGGAAACTACCTGCTTGGCTTATCTCGAATTAGAAAAAAGTCGTTTAAAGACAGAGTTGTCTGTTATTTATGCACAGAATGATTGCCGAGATTTACATAGAACTCTGTCTCTTCTGAAATTTTTGATACAAAATAGTGGGGAGGAATCACTAAAAGAAACAAAAAAGCTATTAGAAATTATTGTTATGTCAACATAAGAGGCTGAGCGAAATTTCTCAACATTGAAAAGAATCAAGACCTTTCTTTGAAATACTATGACCCAGGATCGTCTTACAGGGTTGTCGATGCTGTCCATTGAAAAGGAATTTACTTCGACCATGGAAAATTTCAACAAGGAGGTGATCGACAAATTTGCTGCCAAGAAGGAGCGCAGGATCGAACTTTACATATAAAAAATAGGTATGATCGAATTTGCAGAACACCTGTTTTATTTTGCCACGAGCCGCCACTGATTGCAGCAGATGTTTATTTGAGATTCAAAAGTCATGCCTGCATCAAACCAGCTACCAAGGAGCTTAAAATTGTCTACCAACTGCAATCCAAGTTGATTATTTAAAGCTGTTGTGGGGACTGAAGGAATAATTTTTTTAATGTGAAAATTGATTGCAGTAGTTTTATTTTTATTTAATATCAACTTATTCATTTCACACCAAATCTCCATCT